AAAAAAGAAGTCAAAACCTTTTAATGACATGCCTTCAATTTTTCATATTGGGTCCAGCTCACAAAATTCACAAAGCCAAATTTTATGCCAAGGTTTTTACAGGTTTTCTAAGAAAAATTTTTGCTATTGTAAAAGAAAAAAGTGTTTTTCATTACTTTTTATTACCATTGTAGGACAAAACTCAAAGCCTTACATGAGAGTAAAACCTAGGGCCACAACTCCTACTTTCTTTCTGACCATTCCTAAAAGCTACACACGCTCACATGTTCCCAAGTCTGTCCAGCTCCTTTATGCCTCTGTGTGTTTGCACACTCTTCCTGACATCAGGAAAATGCTGGCCTCCTCCTCAGTGCTCAATTCTGCCTCACAGCTCAGTCGTTCTGGAAGTCTCTCCTCTTACCTGGAGAGCTCTGCACTAGCTCCTTGATATTCCCAATTCCTTACATAGAAATATGTACTATAGTATTCACATTTTTATAATGATGTAATAAATCAGTTCTTCTGTACAATGTTCATATTATGCTACTTTTCTCTTCAACTGAACTCCTTCAATACCAAAAGTTCCATTACACAGTAAAGAAAAATATTAAATAAATGAATGAGTCAATCAATAAAGAAGCTCAGAAATCTCAAATAGTTCATTCTTTTTTTTAATGTAACAGACATTTGCAATTCTTATGTCACATCTTATATTAAATCTTATTCTCAGGTATTGTTTTAGATTTTTTTCATCTAAGGAGGCAAAGTGTCATTACCCTTTCTCCCTCCAAAATTACTACACACTCCTTAACAGAGCAAATTACTGGGCACACTCTTGTAGCACTTTTCATGAGGTATATTACTTGTTTTGCCAAATACAAGGTATCATAAATAAGGTGTGAGCATCATGAATTCTGTTATATATCCTTAAGTATTCTCAAACATTTGTGCTGATTTATATTAAGTTGAATTCAATTTGACACAAGTTTACAACAAAACTGAAAGCACTGTCTTTTATCTGCTAATATCAAATAATTTGAAATTTTTTCCAATGGTACCAAAATTATTTGGGAAATGTAATCTAAATTATTTTATCATAATAAACTGGACTCCTTACTGCATTACTTTGCAATGAAATACAGATCTATTATTAAATATTATGACTTTGATGTTTTAAGTTTTAACCCAAACCCCTGGAATTTGCAATGAAAATGAATTATCAAATAATATAATAACACTAGGTTTAGTTAAAAATGTGATCTTGGGACCAAGGATATAGCTCAGTGGTGTAAGTGCCTACAAGTGCAAGGTCCTGAGTTCAATCTCCAGTACTGCAAAAGAAAAAAAAAGAAAGTTCTCTTGGGACAGGTATGGTGGTGTACATGAATGGGCCTAGCAGTATGGAAGCTGAGACAGGGTAATTGTTACGAGCTTAAGGTCAATCTAGGCTCCATAGTGAATTCCCAGCCAAGCTGAAATATGAAATACATAGAGAGATCCTGTATTTAAAAAAAAAAAACCTGTTTCTTGGGGAAAATGTTTTGCGGCACAGACTTTGAGATCTTTGTGTCTCCTATGAATAGGCATCAGAACACATCCATTCATGAACAAAGTGATTAAGAATCACTCACCTGAAGTAGCCAATGATGAGAATAGCCACAGCCAAGGAACCAAAGGAGATGGAATAGCCAACAGTATACAAGATATAAAGACTTTCAAAGAACTCTTGCTGTAGGGGGAGAGATAGTCACATATGTAATAGGATCACTTCACTAGGAATTTAGTAAGAAGAGTATGCCATTTTTGAAATGTTACTTCTAGTTCTCTTCAGTTTTTAGCTATAATTTATCTGCAATAAAATGTGTAGATCTAAAAGGCACACTGTGCTATGGTCTGACAATCTATGTTCATCTGCGTCCCCTGCTAGTCAAAGTTTCCCACTATTCACACCTTTAGGTCACTACTATTTCAATTTATGTCACCATGAATTAGCTTTTTCTGTTCCCAGACTTCATATACTATATTCTAGACTGTTCTTAGACTTTTTAGAATTCTATATTTTCTTTTTTA